ATACTTTTACAAGGATACATCTCCCAGGCCCTAATTCTGCATATTAATGCTGACAGAAGACAAAGTGCCTTGGCACATTTAACCTGTCTCTCATGCTTTATACTTGGATTCCCAGCTGCTACATGGTCAGATAAATCACTTTGAAAGTCAGTGCCCAGACAGGTTTTCTGTCTCCCTCTTGCCTCGACACAAAATTGACCGTGGATCTTTGAAAACCCATTTTGGAAGGTCAGATGTAGCTATTCCTCATCCCTCCTCCCTGGTGTAAGTACAACCTTTGCCCTAAGACAAGACCTTGGAGGTCAAGTGTTGTCCCTGACTCGTCTGCCTCTGCCACCTCCTGGGCTTGGAATGTTGGCCTTGGCTCTACCGAGTGCTAAGGTCTGCATGCATCAACAGACGGAGGGACTGTACCCAGGCAGATGGAGAGCAGGAATGTGGGAGTTAATGGAGGAAAAACAAGGGCCAGTGTGGTAGATAAGGGCTGATACAAGGGTATAATGCCCAGGGACATCCTTTTTGACAGTGATTCAGAAAACCCAGGTCTTTGGGTAAACAGAACAAAAGAAAGAAACAAACAAACAAATAAACAAACAAATAAATAAATACCCTTCAACTGGTCCAGAATCATGATGTGAAACTGGAGACACAGCCTTAAGGGAAACATAACCTAGTCCATGCCTGCTTCATTGTCCTTCCCCCCACAAAATCACTGCTCTGCCCCATGATGTACAACTCACACCCAGCCCAGCTGCCTCTTTGGTGGTGACTTGTCCTAGGGGCAGATTTTGACATGTGGTAAAGATGAGATGAGTTACTGTGTGAAGATTCAGCGGTGAGGGTTAGAAATGGAGAGTCAGGGTGGGACAAGTCTCCTCTCCCTTCTGCTAGCATGCAAGGAGCTGAGTGATCCCATCTGCTGCCCATCCTGCAGCTGTCCCCAAAACCTAGTACCCAGCTGTGTTGGGGCCCTGCATGTGAACAGGGAATGGAGCAGAGAATGCTGTCACTCAAGAGCCACAGAGCACATTTTGTAAGGAGGTATGTCATAACTCAGCAGAGGAAAGGAACCAGCAGTTGCCTTAATGATGTGTTAATTACATGAGTGTCACCATTCCCTGTCAAAGGCACCTAATCAGGGGAGAATGCTGAATACATGTTTTTCAGATGCCTCATTATGTGGCCTGCATAGAGCTCAGTGATCCTTAATGAATGGATTTATTAGATGGAGGGAGCCTGCAAGTCCCAGGTCTGCCCATGGCACTCAGTAGAGGATGGGGACAGCAGGAACCTGGGTAGACCAACCTCTGCCAAGGCGACTTCTCTAATCCAGACCCTCATCTGTGGTGCCCACAGCTCAGCTACTGCAGATGTGACAAGAGCATGGGTGATACATATGGACATGGGCATGGCAGGCCATGGGTAGCTTCATTTCTCTTTTGGACTGAAATTCTTCTAGCTGGTTGCTTCTGTCTGAATACACATGGCCCATCAGGAGTGACACTGCAGTTTCAAGCTGGGGTCTGCCTGTGACCCTGCCAGCAGCTGCCCGTGACCCTGTCCCACCTGAAGCCGTGGAAGTGCTGAGTGACCAGCACACAAACCAGATCGTGCTGTGTGCAGGAAGGCGCTGTTGCAGGAATACAAGGACATGAAAATTCACTGCTACCGCTTACTCTGCTGGCTGCGGTCACTGCAGCCTTGGCTGGGATTTCTGAACCATTACCTGGCAGCCTGTCCACCATAAGAGAGACCAGTCACATCCAGACCTGCCTAATGCACATTAAGGTCCCACCTGCCCCTGTCTTTGCAGCAGCTCTCTGGGCTGTCCCACCTGCAATGGGACCAAACTTTCAGTAACCTGCCCATTTATCAGTACTTACTGATGTCAGACCACAAGGGCAGACAATGTCCCCTGTGTCCCTTCACAACAGGCAGGGGAGTTCCCAGCAATGGCCACTGTCAGGGAGTGAACAATGTTATCACTGAGCACATTTCTGCTCATTATTTCCATGCTTTTTGTACTGCACCAGATGGATCTTCATTAAGGTGAATACAAGTTTTAGGTTGAACCAGCTTTCTTTTCTAAAACCACTCTTCTAGCAACTCTGGCAGTTTTATTGAAGTTTACAGGAAAATGGCCAAGAAATATAATGGCCAAATCAAGATATCTGTAACCAGACAATAGGAATGTATTTCCTGCTCTTGAAAGTCTGTGCAAGTGGGAAGCAGATTACAAGTGGCTCTGAGTTAGGTTGAGAGACCTGGTTAAAGAGCACAAATCACAGCTGGATGGGTAACCCTTGGTGTGCCCATGGTCCATCACCTGGCTCAGTCTCAGGATGAGGAACCCCAGGACACCGGGAGATTGCAGGAGGCTGTCTGCTGAGGGTCCGTGGCTAACGGCTGGGAGGGGCAGACAGTTTGTACAGGACTTCCTGGGAATTTAATCTGACCTGGAAAACATCCATGTCAAGTCCCAAGTAAGACTGTCTGGGAAGAAGGAGGAAGAGCTGCTGCCTGCTATGCATGGTGTTCCCCAGTTCACGTGGACACTTGAAAATGGTTTGAGGGCTCCTGAGAGGAGGTGGCTGGGCTGGGAGCAGCCTGAGACATGGGGACCCCTGGAGGTTGAAGGTCCAAGAGCAGCTCAGGCCTGAGACTGACTCCCAAGTCCTGATACCTGCAGCCTCAGCCTGGACGTGCCCTTCTGGTCCAGGCCAGGTGGCCTGAAAAACACCTCTGCCTGTCTCTTGCCAGGGAAAAGGTTCATGCCAGGGTGTCCCCTTCCCCTCCTGGATAGGCAGGGACACCAGTGTGGCCTAGAGTGACAGTGAAGTGACAGCCACAGCCCTGCTGTGGGAGCACCCGCAGATTTATTATTTGCAGGAGCAGAGGCTGAACTGATGCACAGCCCCTTGGAGCTGATGCAAGGAAAGCCAAGAGGACAAGACACCAAGTATTCTCCTTGCATGTATGAGAAGATCAGCTGGTAAAGACACCAAATGGTCTCCTGCTGCAGGCACTGTGTCATCAAAAGACACCAAGTCCCACTCCTTGGACTGCAGAGCAGCGAAGATCTGTCCTTCAGCAAGTGGTGGGGCTGGCTCTTCCCTGCAGGAGCGTGTTCTTGCAGCCCCTATCACACTAATTGCAAACCAACCAGGCTGCGTGGCCTCCTGGTGGGTTTTCAATCCCCTTCTGAGCTGCTGCAGGTTTTGTTTCCCTTCAGGATCCTTTGGCAGCCCTGTTATTTTGTGCTCTGCATGTGTCATTCTTTATAAGCTGGAACTGCTCAGTGCTGGGATAGAGGATGATAAATGCTGAGGAGAAAGAGATTTGGAATACCTCTCTTTTTTTTCTATTTTTTTTTTCTTTTTTCCATTTTTCTCTTTAAGTGTCAAATCTTGTACTGTTCCAGACTTCCTTTCTGCAGCCCAGTTTCCTCTCTGGAAGCACCTGCTGAGGCAAAAAGGAAAGCTCTGAGGACAGAGAACAGGACAGAGTAGATGTCTCTCTGTAATGAACTGTGTCCTTTGAGTCAGGAAGCTCTCACCCTGAGGTTTGTGGACATGGGCCTCACAGACCCACTCTATTAGCATATACTTGCTGTTAGCCCAGGGCAAGACTTGTCAGCTGTGTTAGAGGAGGGGAACGCATTGTCCTGCTCTCTGGGGGCTCCATGCTGGACAGTTCCACCTGGGTGGCCTGTCAATTGCTCAGCTCCTGGGCATGTTCAACTCAGCTCCCCCCTTCAGCCCAGGATTCACTCCAGGAAGGCCCCAGGTGTGGGGAGCTCCTTGCCATCAACATGCCTAACCTAAGAAGAATCCTTCCAGGGATCTTCTCACAGGTGTAACAGATCTTTTTATGCTTGCTGTTATTTTTCTGCCTCTCTGTAATCCCAGTAAAGTTTCTCCACTGGAGGGGTGAAGGTGTTTGGAAGCAGGCAATTTTTGTTTCTCTGGCTGCAGAGAGAAGCTGAGCTGCTTATCAAGCTCAGCATCTTTCTGTCCCCATGGGGACTCTCCTTTTCTATCCATGCTTCAGATTCAGTTGGCTTGCTGTCAACTCCAGAGTTTAAATCTTCTTTGCTTTTCCATACTGATGGGTGACAAGTCACGCATAAGCACAGGAGTTGCCCCCATGATTGTGTCTTTTGGTTCTGGTTTCCTTCTCATTAATTGTCTCTTCATTTTATTGGCCCATTTAGCCCCATCTCAGTAAAGAAGAAAAGACTTTGAACAGGGTGCTGACTAAATACTTCTGGATCTTGCACCTTTGCCTGCTTTGTTTTCATCCCATTGCATGAAAGGATCAAAAGGGAACAAGTTTAATCACGGAAGATGACAGCAACAATGCTGAAAGCGCTGGGAATGTTACCACAGAGGCACAACCTCGCTCAGGAAGCTGTAAACATCCCTTTCAACTCCTAAAATAATGAAGGTGCCTGCCACCTTCTTGTCCTCTTTGATCTTTGCCATCAGCTTTGGCTCTGTGGGTGACAGCGGGTGATGTGAACAGTGCCAGAGGGCGCAGCATGGGGAAGGCAGGAGCCCGTGTCCCACTGTGGGCTCCCCCTCTCCATCCCTGCAGAGCAGGGCCTTTCCCTGCATCGAGGTGAGGACCCTGAGCCATGGCTGGGCACCGTCACCGTGTCCTCTGGAGACCCAGCAGGGCTGGAGGGTGACTCCAGGCTGCTGTCCCCATCCAGACAGGATGCATGGGGCTCTGCTAGAGGAAGCCACTTGCAGGTAGCGATACAAATAGTTCAGAGGACTCCACAAAAAGCCTTCAACAAGCCTCAAACTTTGCTCCCTGAAGCAAAACAGGCAGCGAATGAATTTTCACGAGCCCACGAGCTACCATGGGACAGAGCTGGCAGCAGTGCAAGGTGCTGGCAGTGGTGAGGATGATTGTTAACTACCAGCTGTTCATCTACAGGTGGAAATTTCTTTCTGCTGTATCCTGACTATACAACCCAGTGCTGATCTAAGGGGAAGCTCCCTCTGGGAATATAAAAAGCCCCAGCTCTGCTTACCCATCCTTGCAAATCCCAGCAGCAGCGTGGGAAGAAGGAGCAGGAAGCACTGCATACTCCTCTTGAGAGAAATCACTAGTTTTTGCTAAAAGGGAACAACTCTCATCTCCATTGAGCAGGATTCAGCCCTGCATGCCTCCAGGTGAGACATTTGCGAGCTCATTAGCAAAGCCCTGAGGTCTAGCTAATAAGTGCTGCTTGCTGTTCCAGCATGGGAAATCAGGCTGCCTTTCTAGGCAGATACCTTTATTAAATCAAGCTGTGACCTTCGGGACACTTAGGCAGACACTGGCTTCCACTCTCTGTGCACAGCAGAAGTGGGTGTCTGCTAATCGCTGCCCCCCTGGGTCCTCACATCGAGGGTTATCATTTTTCCCCACATTTAGGAGTAGTTAGAGGGGGGCTGAGCTGTGAACTCCATGCCCAGAGTGCCAAAAGGGAAAAGGCTTTGGTCTCTCTCAGGTATTTCTGACAAATCTAACAGCTGTACTACTCCAGCAATAGTGGGGGTGATTGGAACTCAGCTGGGAGGTCCGGGCATGCTTCAGCTCATGAGAGTCCTTGTCTTGGGTGGAACCCTCCCTGCGATTCAGGGCATGATTCTGTCAAGATAGCATCGGTGTCTGTAGAGCTCAGCTGGTGCTTGAGTGTTGCATGCAGATAGATCAGGCGGGTTTGTAGGGGCTGGCTTATAGGGAGCAGGGCAGAGGGGTGAATGCTCCAGGAGCAGGATGGGAGGTGGGGGCTTTCTGCAGGCCTCAAGGAGCAGAGCACAGGGGAGGGAAACACTGACACGATTAAGAGAGATGCTACACCACTTTTCATCCAACCAGCATCCGTTTTAATGTTCTGGCTGGCTTGATTGAAAACAGTAACCCTTCACACCCTGGCCCCCTGCCAGCTGTGTCTTTCCAAGAGCTGCTGCTTCTGCATCTGGCTGCCAGGGGAGAGATCGCATTGCCTCCAATCACTTCAGCCATTCACCACTAAACGACATCAGGCATGGCATGCATGGCTGGCTTCCTCCACTCATCCTGCAGTTTAGCACTAAAAGCCTGGATTTGACTGCAGAGGACATGGCTTTTTTACTCGCCTTGCTGCCGAGCTGATCATGTCTCTTTGTGACTCAGTTTCCCCACTGCAGATTAATTTCACTTCCTTTGGTAGCACATTGATAGCAACTGCAGAAAGTGCCACACATGGACAAGGGGTCACTATTCTGCTACGGAGATTTAGATAACTGGCCAAAAATGTATCACTCTGCCAGGAAAACAAGCCCACTCTGTTTCTCTTTCACAAAGTCCAGATTCTCTAAATTTCTTGTGGGAGGATTATTATTATTTATTATTACCTATTATTAGTTATTATTATCAATTATTTATCATTATTAATCATTTGCCATTATTATTTATTATTATTTATTATTATTATTATTATTTATTATTATTTATTATTATTTAGAGAAAGCTTTTTACATTTTATTTTAAGTATCAAAAAATTATTGGTTTTCCCCATTTTGCAAATTTTCTTCCCCCTTGTTCTAATTTTCTGCAGAATTTTGCCAGTACTGGATGGCTGGCAGACATGGGCAGTTTCAAAGCTCTCTTGTCATTCTGCCATTACGCAACAGTGAGGGTTTGGAAAAGGAAAAGGGCGAAAAATAGGAAGACACTTTCTGCTGGCAGTGTAAATGGTTGAGGAAAATATATAAAAGATATAACTTCAAACAAATGTAGAATTAAAAATAAATCTAACAACTTTGTTCACTTTCCAGAAGTATTGAAAAATATGTCCTCAAGAATGATGTCCTCCATCAGATCAAAACCCTCTGCAGCTCACAGAAGGCCCTTTGCAGCTGGATTCATCTGTGATTTTGAAAGAAGTAAAAATATTTATTTGAGAAAGCTTCTTGTCCCCATGCCTTGGTTTGCGTATTGTGTCTGCATGTAGGTGCAAATGGCAGCCTCTAGAACAACCACAAGAACTAGCTCCAACTACATTGAACAGGGTATTTTCTTTCTCTTTTTTCTTATTTGCCCTCTACTATGTCCTTCTGGAACTTTTACTTTTTGGGGCTGAAACACCGTATTTAGGGGAAAAGGGTGCATTCAGAAAAGAACAACTTTGGATCCAAAGCATTCAGGACAAGTGGTCAGAGCAGAACCCTTCTTTTGTAAGCTGTCAGGGTGACAGGTCTGGATGACAGGGTGACAGATCCTGCTGTCTGTCCCCATCAGGGCGCTGCGCTAGAGCCTTCCGCGCCGTGGGGCTCAGCGCTGGGCTGGTGGTCCTGCCGTGGGTGGGTGGCACTGTGCCTCTGTGCAGGGATCACCATGCCTACTTCAGGCGGTGGTGGTCTGGGACTGAGTCCTCCTGGAGATGTCACACCACAACATTGCTCTGGATCTTGTGGCACATCCTGAACAAAACGCACAAGAGGGGCCCTTGTCCCCCGTCCCACAGGAGTGTATCCCCAGCCAGCGTGTCCCACGGTGCAGGTGCTGGTCAGTGTGCAGCACTGCGCATGGGAAACCTCACAGTCATGCTAGTGAGACTCTCCTAACACTGAATTGTTAACACTTATCTTAACCATCATGTTATTACCACTTCTCCTCTTCAGTACTCATGAAAACCACCATAATAATTTTAAGAGCATTTTACTTAGCCCACGAGTGACCTTGAGGCAGGACTCTGCTGCATGCATTCTGTACACAGCCAGTGGGTTTGTATCCAGCTCATACCACACCTCTAGCAATTTTGTGGAAACTGCAAACTCTAAAGCAGATAAAAATATGCCTTTGTAGGTTATAAAATGCCACATCCAACAATCTTTTCTCCTCTAGAAAATGCACAATGAATGAACAGTGTTCTTGATAGGACATGAATAACGAAGGTGGCAGCTGGACTATGGAGGGGGAGTAAATGACAGAGTGCAGCATATCCCAGGCTTTCACCCAGCGTCAGCAGTTGTCTTCTGGCAGGGACCAGGGAGATGCCCATGCTTCCACGGGAGGCTAAGGTCTCCTTGGCAGGGTGGTGCCTACAGTGGCTCCTGGAGCACCACTGCAGGCCTCCCCACTGCGCCCTGGAGCTCTGTGCTGCTGGGACTGAGGCTTTTCCTGCAAAACCTCCTGTACTTGATAAAGTTAGGTCCACACTTCTGCTGTTTCTGAACCCCTTATTCCTCCACCCTGTGGCTGCTGAAGTCACTGTGCCTGTTTTAGCACTATGTTGAGTCTCCAGTTGTTTCCAGCTCAGTGGGGTGAGGGTTTCCATCCACTTCCACAGCTCCTTTCCATTTTTAATTGCACATGGTACAGATCTATGTGTCTGCTGCAACCCCTCCTGGGGAGCTACACTCCTGATGAGCTCAGAGCAGCCCCAAAACCCCATGGTACCCACTGGTGAACCTCACAGCCACTTCTTGCAGGAGCAGATCTGTTTCTGGTCCATTCAGTGGTGCACCAGCCCCATCCCAGCTTTTCCCTGCTTGGCAGCTGGCTCACATTGCTATTGCTTTATGAAACATTTTCTTTCTGGGAGCTGCTGCCTCCAACAGTGGCTACACCAGCTGCTTCCCCATTCTCCTCCTGATTTACCAGGAGCTGTTTGGCACTGTCTGTCGCTCTGCAGATATCTGCTGCTGTAGTTAATGCTAAGTTTCGACAATTATCTAACTCTCCATGAATGCCCCTCACAACGTGTTTATGGACACTGGAAAAGGCTTGTTTCTGTTTTTTGATTTTTTTTTTTTTTGGCAGAACCTCCATTCCCATTAAGTAACCAAAATGCGGGTGGCACCATGTGGCAGGCGAGTGGTTTATAAAGGGCAAGGTCTGCAGTTCTGTGCATCTTGTGACTCGTTTCAAGTCTATTTACAATCTCATATTACAGCTGGGTATGAGGAAAAACTGCTTTATAATACCTTTCCCAGGAGTGATCTCCACCACACTGATGTTTTTTAGTTGCTCTTCTTCCAGCATATGCCAAAACACAGAAATGCTCTAGTTTTGGTAGCTTTCCCTTAAAATCTGCAGCCCATCTTTGCTCACACCCCTTTTTTCTTTGTTTTTGGTGCCCTGCATGGTTTTTATTGCCAGCTGTGCACTGAGACTCCCTCTGTTCACCGCCATCAGACAGCTCCCAGAGCAGCAGGCACAGGGCAGGCTGTTGGTTGACTGCCCTGTTCTCTGTTCCTGCTTCTCAAGCAATTTCCTCTGTCCCATGAAGTGTGGAGCCAGGCGACTCACCCAGCACTTCTTTTTGTGGTATCCCTCACCAGAGTGCCTGTCCCAGCCCTGCTCTGCCTTCTCAGCTCACCAGTGCAGTTGACCTGCTGCCTTCTGGCAATGAAGCTTCATTTCTTTCCTCTGCCATATTTAATTAACCTCCCCAACCTGTCAGTATACAGCCTCACCTCGGTTCCCACAGCACGTGATATATGTTAGATGCAGCGAGAGGATGCTCCATCACCACAGCTTTCCTCTCCTGAGCAGGAGCCCAGAGGACACAGAGCGCTCTGTGCTGGGGCTGCGGGGCTGCAGGGGACAGCACATCCTCTGCCCCTGGGCATTTGCTGTGGGGACAGCTGTGAATTTGTGTAGCTGCTGCTGCCCTTTGGTGGTAAGAGGATGGTTGGACCAGATGAATTTGGAGGTCTTTTCCAACCTTAAGGATTCTGTGATTCTCCCTGCCTATGAGTGCAATGGGACCTGGCAGGCTGAGAGCCTTCCCCCCACCTTCCCCAGCTCCCCGGCATTCAGGGATGGATGATTTATCCTCTCATGCTTATCTCAAACCCGGTGCCACCACCATCCAGAGAAACAACAAATGCAACCCCTCCTCTCTGATCCTGTTGTCGCACCTCAGGTCGCTTCACCAGAGGAGCCCTGTGTGGTGTAAAACATCCCCCTGCTCGCCCGGTGCCCGTGGAAGGGCTGCGGGAGGAAAGGAGAGCCACAGCTCCGAGACGGGAGAAATGCTCGGCTGTAGCAGATCGTGCTCCTTGTGCAATGAGTTCTCTCATATTTTATTTTAAATTAAAACAATGCTTAACCCTGATAAATTGTGATTTAAGCTTATAAGAAAATAGACTCAGGAATAAATAGCTTGCTCCAGCGTGAAATTGAATAAATCCGAGTTGAATCGCAGAGTGTTACTTACAGAATAACAGTAAATGATGTGTGTGGTTTATTGTTAAACAAGAGCAGAGCTCTGGAAATGAGGTTAAAAGGAAAGCTGTCAAGGGTGTATTTTGCAGCTCTTTTCCAGGAAAAAAAAAAAAAAAAAAAAAAAAGAGAGAGAGAGAGAGAAAAGAAAGAAAAAGAAAGAAAACTGTTAAAGAGGAATTTTCACTTATTGACTGGAAGTAACTCTTAGCAAGGCAAAAAGTAGCAATATCAAGAAGGTGAGGGAGTCAAGGGGCATGATCAGGTTATAAAAAAAAAAAAAAAAAAGACAAACCTGCAGAGACAGAGATAATTCCTAGCTTCTCAAAATATTTGCAAGATTTATGACATATATGTGACCTCTCTCCATCCTTTCTGGTGCTACAGGTCCCCTTGAAGAACAAATTTTCTGAAGCACTTAGCACCGGAGAGCCACCAACATGGAGGGATGGGGAAAACAAGAACTTGTGGGTGCTGAATAGGTCTGGGAGCGTGAGCAGCCACATGGGAAGTGATGTGGGGACTGTTGGCACCGTGTGCCTTCAAATACAGCCCCTGAAAAACAACTGGGCTGCTGAAGCCTCCCCTCACCCTGCTAGCTCTGTGCTGGGTGGGTATCAAGAAGAAAGCCTTCCTGCTCTCTCCAGCAACCAGCATGCTGGCTCTTGACACTGCCTGGTCAATAAATCAGCTCTGAGGTTTCTTGGTATTGTAGCAGCTGGGATGTGAGTAGTTGTAAGAATCTCATAGGAGATTTCCAACAGTATTTTGCATCTTTTCTCCCTCCTGAGGAGCAGCTGAATGCCAGCCCTGCCTGCCAGAGCTGGAGGAGAGCCCTTCCTTGCCTGCACTGGGATGTTCCTCTGGTAGGGGAGCTACAGTGAAGTCAGTAAGAGCGGCACCAAACAGCTCACACACCCGGGGAGCTGTTCCCTGTGGGCAGTGCTGACAAGGTCTCGCAGCCTGCATGAACAGGAGGCTAGACCAGGGAGATGTGGGGGTAACTGCTCATGATAAAGACCATGGACATTCAGAGCTCCCACTGCCAGAGACTGGAGCATCCCTGCATGGGAGCACAGGCATGGACCTCGCCTGCTCTGTAGAGGACACATCTGGGGAATCTGCCCCTCGTCAGGTGGGTGTATGGGCAGGAGAGGGAAGGCATTCTGGAGGAAGCATCTCCCACCACCCAGGCAGCACAGTCCATTTCAGTCTCTGCATCATGGCTCTCTGCTTATGAAGTTTGAATTTGGAGGAGAAAAAGAACTGGGTACTGGATGTCCCACATCTTAGTGCTGGAAACTTTTACCTCAGCTTTGATTCCTGGAAAAGTAATTAAGGAGAGTAGCACCTGAAAAATACATGGAGGTGAGTAATAGCCAGCCTTGATTGTCAAAAGCAAATCATATGAAACCCATCTAATTTATTTCCCTAAGAAGGCAACTGATCTGTGGGCAACACAAAAGCAATAGATAATATCTGATGCTGCGGCTGCTGTGGCACTTTTAACTCTCTCAGTCATTAAATTCCCATAAACAAGCTGAAGAAATATGTTTGAGATGAATTTACCACATGGCGACACAGAACTGGGCAGACAACCAGGCTTAGAGAGCAACTACCAACAGCTTTTTTTCAGCCTGAGACAGCTTACACATAAGGCCTTCTCCAAGCATGTTCACCATCCTCATTTATGAGCTTCCATCATCATGGAAGAGAAGATATTCAAGTTCCCTGTG